AGAGAGAGAGAGAGAGAGAGAGAGAGTGCGCGCGCGCGTGTGGGTGTGCGTGTGTTTGTGTGTGTGTGGGTGTGGGTGTTTGTGAGTGAGAGAGAGAGAGAGAGAGAGATGAAAGAGATAGAGAGATAGATAGAGAGTCTGAGAGACAGAGACAGAGAGGGGAGGTAGAAAGAGAGATACAGAGTACGGTGCAAAGAGAACTGACAACTTGCAATAAACTTTCTTTGTGCACTATAGTTATGTACCTGTGATCGAAATCTGTTACATTGTCAAAAGGACAGGCCTCTCAACATGAATTATGAAGACATGACAAGATAAACCTGTTTAATGTTTCCATTATTTTAACTACTTGCATTATATTGTGCTTTTATAATTTCTGAAAAGTTACGAAAAATTCCCCAAAGGGACAAAACAATTTTTTTTCTAATCTTATCTTTCATACAACTTACTTACTGCCCAAGTAATTCAACTATAAACCCAAAAGTCTTCTTCAGATGGGAAATGTTTAAAAGACGATTAGCGACAGATGATATTTCAGAAGTAACATCAATCTGAAGCAATCGTTATGTTTGCCGGACGATTTACTAGAAGACGCTACCATTCCAATTTTAGAAGTCTCAGCGTACCTTATGGACTGACACCACTCTGTAAAAACTCGAAATACGAAGGGTGTAGGGAGGGAGGGTTACCAACATTATTTGAGAATGAGAAACAAGTTAAGTCAATAAGACAGAACTGTACTGTGGATAGCGAACAAGAGAATACCAAAATATAGCAGCTCCAGTATCGTAACTCGGGTTATTTTGCAAAACTCAATTTTTGACATACTCCAAGGCGTTGAGAGGGTGCACGAGCTCGGTAAAATCCTCAGAGTCGTCCGATTGTTTCGTGAATATACACTTTAAACTGAAATTCTATTTATAGTTGAAGGATACAAAAGTGGTGAAAATACAGTTTATTGCTCTTCCTGTTAAAAAAAAATTAATAAACTCGAGCTAACGGAAGTCGTGATGTTACTGCGCCATCTATAGTAAGATAACGAGGGCTCATTCAGAGAAAGGTTCCCTTTAACAGGTTATGGACATGCCTGCATGTTCTTTTGCTCATTAATGCCAAAGCGTTTCATTAACCTTTTTGATGTTTGAACACGAGCAGTGTCCTTTGGGATCTTTCAGACGGATAAAAGTCACCCACGCACCCGAACTTTTTTCTCTCGTTATTTCGCTTATCGCCCTGTTCTTGTTCTTGTTTTTGTTTTTCTTGTTCTTCTCTTTCTCTTCTTTTTTTCAAGTTGACTTTTCTCTTGTTTCTCCAACATGTACACACACATACACACACACACACACACACACACATACACACACAGAGAGAGAGAG